AAACAAACAAATGAACAACCACAATAATACACTGAACTTTCAGGATGAGAGAACAGAACTATGGTTCCTAGAGGTGGGAAGCAGGGAAAGGGGTTTGGGAGAAACTGGGTAATGGACACAAAGAATAATTACATTTTTTAATGATGAATATGTTAATAATCCTGATTTGATCATCACATATTATACACAAATACTGAGAGTCAATTCTGTACCCCATAAACATGTATAAAACAACAGAAAATTTGGAAAGTAAAGGACAGTTATTAAATTGCTCCATTATTACATTATGTCCAATTACTACTTTATTGTATTTCCATGTATATTTATGACACANATTAACTATAAAAGTGGATTTCCCAAGTTCAGTGTTTCCCTGATATAACGTAACCAAGTACATGTGCGGGCATCTACAATTGGCCCTTTGTGTCACTGCTGTGGGCTTTAGAGGTACATGGGAATTGATGCAAACAAGTGAAGCTCTGGTTACTGCTTTTGCCATGAATAATAAAGTCCTTTGTCTCTGACCCAGAAGTCTCATGTCTTCTGACACCATCCAGGAAACAGTAATAGCTTAACTTGTTACCATAAAAGTAGGGTAAAATTCTAGACTCTGTACAGTTCTTGACGTTTTACGGAATATTAATCACACACATTATCATCCAGTACTCTGGGTTAGAGAAAGCATGTGCATTGCGGGTGGGAAGACCTAAGGAGCAATGGAGGATGTTCCTGTCTTCTCTCTGTTCTACCAATTATTAGTAAAGCACGATACTGGGTAGATCTCTGATCTGCCTGAACCTGATTTGACAATCTGATCCTTTGTGTCAGCTCAGAAAGGAGGAAGGAAAAGCTGTCCTGTTGGCTGTTCTTCATGTTATTTTAAAGTACAGCAAGGACACAAATACAATATCCAACCCAGCAAACCAACAATTTTTCTATATTTTTAGCTCTCTGGGGAAAGAGATGGTACCTGTCTTGTTTATCATTCTCTCGAGTCCCTATTTCAGTGCTTGACTCATCATAGGTGCACAATAATTATCTGTTGAAAAAAAAATTTAAATGAATGGATGAGTGACAGATAGCTAAGTTGACAGAGGAAGAGATAGCTAAATTACAGCAGAGAAGATCGAGAAAGAGGAGTGAGAGAAGGTAGGGGGACAAGATCTTGTAGAATCTTGGCACCCAAGGAGAAGAGACATTAAAAAAGGGAATGAACAGCGGTATCAACAATGCTGAAAGTCAAATAAAACGGATACTGTAACAATTCTGATGGGTTTGGAAATTATAAGGTCTTTCTGCTAAAGAGCAGAATGTGGATAGCAAGCTAGCCTTTTGGGAATCTCTATTTCTTTACTTTTTTCCCCAATCCCAGAATAATCTATTCTTTCCTCCTTGTTGAAAACAGGGCTGCCAAGTTCATGCTTTCACAGGCCTATTATATTGCTATCTCATCTATAACATGACTCAATATCATCCCTGAGGACCAGTGTAACGTGGCTCTGGTTTATTGTGACACAATATTGTCATCATAGTCTCAGTGTGTGGGGGAGCAGAAAGCAATAAAAATAAAGTATGTATACAGAGTCTACTATGAACATCAATTTGATACATATTTAGTGATATACAAAATTGTTTTGAACTTTATAGGATTAAGAACAAATGGTATAGGAAGGTAGATGAGCCAGTAAAACTAAGCCTGAGCAAGAATTCATGTAGCTGCTTTTACTTAGCTAATTTTCTATACATCCAATTTAACTCACAGTCCAAATATATTGATTCTCTTCCAGTTTTCAAGGAAAAGCCAAACTCTCTGTGGGCTAAGAGCTAAAGATGCTATTTCTAGGGGCAAAGGAGGCATTCACCCTGGGCATGGGTTAGAGTAACAGAAACCTTGAACCAAACAAAGTTCTCTCTCTAGGAAAATGAATGGCATGCTCCTCAGAGATTCTAATCTTTTAGACAGTGACTCATTCCACTCCCCTTCTTTCCCTCTGGATCTAACCTGGCTCTAGTATTTAGATGGTGATTAATCAGTGTTTTCCAAGTGAATAGTGGAGAAAGACATGTCTGGAGAGGGAGAAGAGGAGACATAGGAGACAGAGAAAAAAATATGGGGCTTGGAAATCAAAGGCAGGTAATAAATAATGGTTGTCTGGCTGATGACCTGCCTGACTGAGATAACTAGATTGATGTAGCTATTATTCAGAAACCTTTCTGAAGACCTTTGGATACCTAAATCTAGGGTTATCAATTGAGGAGGGTGGGCACCTGGAGCCCTGGATATTCCAGACGTCACTGCTTGAAAGGTGTATCTTTTCCCAGCTGTTAGGACACAGGACAGAATGCACACTGGCTTCTGTGATACATACAAACATAGAAGGGAAGCCACAAGGCCCAAACCTCTTTCTCACTGATTACACAAATCAAAAGGAAAACTGTCCTGGGAAAGTGAATATACGACTAGCACTCTCATCTCTGGGTGGTTTGTTCTGATTAGCTTTATCTCCACATATCTGAGATTCAGGGAAAGAGTAAGATCTCTCATGGAAATGAGACAGGGAGAGACAGACAAGTTTGAACAGCCTTGTGGCCTTACACAGCTCTAGGTCACTG